GGGAAAGCACATCTTGGGCACCGTCAAAACTGCCAATATTCTGACGCTGTCTACAACTGGCACGCAGATCTCTGTCCGTGGATTGGATGACAAACGTAATGCTGGCTAGCCTGGAAGAAGGCTAAGTACTTTTTTTAAATTGGATATGAGGGCGCCTCGGGTGACAAAGCAGGTTAGTGGTATTCAGAGCAATGTATGCACGCGTAAATCAACGGCTACGACGTTTTATTGTCGTTTTTAACAGTCTATCATAGGCATCTACATGTCGAGGTCGACAGTTGCTTTGACTTAGTTACACAATAGTTTATTAGGCTGCGAGGTAGGCACCCAACTGACCAAAGTGATGTGGAAATTCGTCCACTCAGTTCCATCGAAGCCAGCGGCTAGATATTTCCATAAAACTAGTGTGCATTACCAAAACGCACCGCACGGAAGAAAGTCCGACCAGGTCCACTGTGAAAAGCGAACGCAAGATATCTCAGTTTTTACGCCACAACTGTGCTACGACGAGCTGTCATATGGGCACTTAAAAGCCTCTTCAAGTAAAGGTCATTAATTTAAGTTGGGAACGTAATTGTCACACCAGCAGTGAGTTAAATATCATATCTTGGACCTAAAAACCAGTTGGTGGCAACTTAAAATAACATCAAATTCGCATAAATACAACTTGCCTAAGTAGGAAGTATTCTTAAGCATAAAAAATTAAAAAATAGCCAAGGGGAACGGTAATAGAATACAGGCAAACACGGGGATGCTGGCCAAATACATCGGCAGAAAAAAATTAATCTAAAAACCACTAATCTTTTAGATTTAAGCTAGTTTACGGACTTCACTCTGTTAACACAAGATAAGAAAAAGTTGTGGTTCTTGATACTGTAAAATACAAACGGATTTTTCCATCGCCAACCGTAAAACACTCTTAAACCAAATAGTCGAATTTTACACGATAACCACTGACGCACAGGGACGAACCGAGAAAATTAACACGTTCCTAGGTTAGAACTGGAGCAGAAAGAATAATATGACGGGTCAACACTAGGTTGAGAGTGGAACAAGGTGACCCACAATTGCAACGTCCTTGAGCTCATAAGAGTAGTATTACTTCATGATTAAGAGTTCTAAAGAAAAAGACAATAGCATGGTAAGGGGACATCTGGTATACAAAAAATGCGTTGAATTACTTTGAAGACGATTGACAAAAGCTCGAACATCTGCTTGCTCCGCAAATTCGTCCACTGTACGTTGTACACGACTGCGACGCTGGACAGTGAGCGAAGAAGTTGCGGCGGAAGGAGGAACGGCAGAAGGTGTTTGTCCGAGTCCCGTCTCGTCGGACCCCGGAACTTCCTTGTCTGCTTCTGACGGCTCTTCGTCGGCTCCATCCTCTTCTTCCGCCCCAGTGTATCCCCCAGATGCCGGATTAGTAGCAGCAGCAGTAGCCTGATTGGTCTTACGGCTTCTGCGACCGGAGGGATCTGCTTCAGAGGCCTTACTATGCTGTGGTTGAAGATTAGAGGAAACCACTTTGGCTGCCTGAGAACGCGATGGACAGTAGCCAGTAATCTGAGGGTTGAGCAGAACATCCTCCACATGCAGCAGCGGCTTAAACGCCACCGCCCGGTCAATTAGGCGATGCAATTCAGGTGAGGAAAGGTTGTCCTCCACGGCAATAACAACATGACAAACGCTAAATAGAAATGAGATTACCTGAAAAGAAAGTATATAAAAGGCTATTAAAGGTGCACTCCAAATGGACAGAACAAAAGACAAAAAAAGTTGTGAAATCAGTGACACTATGATTTAGGACAATTAATTGACCTAAGGGGAAATTTGTTAATTCCAATCAAAACTATGACGGTCCGAGTTGGCAGAAACGTGCGCCCCTTAAACACAATGACAGTTCGTTGTAATTGGGCAAGAA